CTACACAATAAAGTTTCTGATCTGCTTGTGCAAATAAATCCAGTCTAGTGATGCTTCTTGGACTCTGCCACACACAGCTCCCACACACTCCCTGGGGCTGCTGGAACTCAGACCAGGGGATGCTCCAGGGCCAACAGCAGCAATAACTTCAATAATACCAGTAGAGATAGTGATGAAGGGACAGTTATAAAGGACCATTGGGTTCTCTCAGGAATTGGAGCTGTTATCAGTAAAAAATGCAGATGATAATGCAAAAAGTCCTTCAGATCTTTGTTCCCAATTCCAAGTACACAATGAGGCTGCAATTCAAGCACAAATAATATGGAAAACTTGCCATGTTTCCATATGTATTTGCGTTCCCGCACTTCCTTCAGCACAAAGGCAAATTCCCTCAGCTTCTGAGGAAGCTCCAGGTGAAAGGAACAGCTCAGGCAGAGTTTGCTGTGACTGTTCTGGTTTTCCTCCCCAGCTGGGTCAATGCTGTAGCTCTGAATTAGCCACATTGCCTTCTGCCAGCTGCAAATCCCAGCAGTGTGAGTAGAGGGAGATGCTGATAGAGCTCTAAGAGCCTGATGAACCCCAACCTCAGACCCTGTCGTGGGTTAACCCCAGCCAGAATCCAAGAACCACACAGCCATTCACACACTCCCCCACCAGCAGGACAGGGGAGTGAATCAGAAGGGTAAGAGCTAGAAAATCTCATGGGTTGAGACAAGGCCAGTTTAACAGAGAAAGCAAAAGCTGCACACACAAGCAAAGCAAAACAAGGAATCAATTCACTGCTTCCCATGGGCAGGAGGTGTTCAGTGCTTCCAGGAGAGCAGGGCCCATCACACATAATTGTTCCTTGGTGGCCAAGAAGGCCAATGGCATCCACAATAGTATCTGCAGAAATTATATCAGTTCTAGAGTTATGCATTTTATTTTCCTTTCAACCTCCTTAGAGCCACTGGTTTTGTGTCTCCTGTTTTCTGACGTTTAAAAAAGAGATATCTACACTGCTGGCACCACCAGTTTGGCCATGAGTGAGGCTGCAGGGTCACTGGAGCCACTAGTAAGGAACACATCCTGCTGGTATTCCCTGTGGAAGGGACTGGGAAGAGGTTCTTGCAAACTGCAGCAAAGCAACATCACAATCCACCAGAGAGAAAAAGTGAATGGTACAAATGATGTTTTTTTCCTGATCCAAAACCAGGTGACTATTTTTTACATTGCTCAGCCAGCAAGAGAGACAAACCCTCCAGCCCCAGGAAATCCATCCATCTGTATTCCGGGTGGAGGAGCTGGATCAGCCAGGGATGGTCACAGCACATTGACCTGTACAGTGCAGGCGTCAAAAGATTCTGCCTGTACTTAAATTGCAGCCTGGAAATTCAGCCAGTTTGCTTCCCATGGTCCAATTCAGACAAACAAAGACAATTCCCAAATGAAGCAACCCAGGGCTGTGCATTTCTCCATTCCCACTGTGCCTCTGGAGCAGCACAACAGCTTCCAGGGAGCAGAGCACACCCCAGCCAAGGGTGCCATCTGCTGACAAGGATTTAGTCCTTACTCCAGTCATCACTTCCATTCTCTGCTCCGGATTAAAGCACTGACTAAACCCAAGTCCCTCAGTGTAGCCTGACAAAGAGCTCACTGGGCTTTGAAATCAGTTTTTGCCTTCTACATGGACCCTCAACGTGTGTGAATGAAATCTGTGTGGTGCCTCTTCCAGTCTGGAAAGGCTGAGCTTCAGAAGGAGCATTTCCCATGTCCCATGTCACCTGTGCTCTGGAATACAAGAGAAAATACAGCTCTGGTTTTCATGATGGTGTGGTGATTCCATGGAAGTCCCAGGGAGCAGGACAGAGGCTCTCTGGTCTCACATGTTCTTAGCCTCACTCCAGGCAGCTTGGGAATGTTTGGAGAAACAAAGGATTCATTCCATTTCACATCCTATTCAGTACCAGTAGGTGTATTCCCATTTCAGTGCAATAGTTCACAGACACAGAAAATTCAGTCAGGAATTGATCTCTGGTGAGATCCGCTGAAGAGTAAGATTCTATTAGAATTTGGGATTTTTTTCCAAGTCAGGCTCTCAGTTCTCATGTGGTTCCTCAAGCTCCCCCTCCTCTCCAGCAGCAGTGCTGCCCCAACCTGCAGCTCTCCACAGAGGCTGCTCCCAGAGCATTTGTGATGGCCAAGCCTTTTTCTCCATGGAAAACCCTGTCTTCAGGGATTGCTTTCCCCAACACTCACACATGGCAGCATTTCCACACAAGGAAGTGCCTGAGGAAGGAAGAAGAGTCTGTGCTCAATGGAAAGGCAACAGGAGGAAAGGGAAGGAGCAGGTGCTGAGCAGAGCAAAGTCTGA